TAGCTAGAGCAGCCATCCTCAACTTGGAACACTAGAATGTGCCATGTTCTTTGACTGCCCTTCCTTTTACCTTTGAAAGCTTTCCTGCAAAGAAGTGTAGGTTATTAATATTTTTTTCTCTCAGCATGAAGTATATATAAAAGCAAAAGAAATGCCTTAGAATTAATACTGGTAAATGTGATACAGTGGTAATTTTCTTATCTCCCCCCACCACAGCACCCCCTAACTTGGAAGAGTCTCTGTTTAAAACAACAGATGTGGTTGCAACATTATATTTAAATTCTCGTCAGTTACATCAAAGGAACTTGATTTCATAGATATTTTCCCAATGACAACAGAATCATAATCTAAACCTGCCATTTAGTTGTGCCTTAACATAGTTTCCCTAATCAGACAAAGCAAAATATTATAGATGATTCTTCTATTGTTGAGGGCTCATTATCCATAAAGCTATAAGATCTTCTTTAATTTCAGCAACCTCTAAAAAATACCAAACTTGGTCACTTTTTAATAGGTGATCATGATTTAATTCCTTTTTTGCCAGACAATACAATCTTTAACATTTTTAACAAAACAAAATGCCACAGGCAAAAGGAAAGTATTTGAGTATATGTACTCAAATATAAGAACAATTGAATACTGCCATACAAATATCCTATCAAAAGCAAGATGCTTTTGTCCATTACAAGATGACAACCTGACAACTTGAGTATGCTTCCCTCGTGACACAATTTTATGGCAAGCTACTGTTCTAGAACCTTGAGCTTCAAGAGGTGCAGAACTTTAAGAACAGAAACTCTTCCAGGAATTCCAGAACTGTGTTAATACAAAGCACACACTTCACAGAAATCAGTCTCACTTCTGTCCTGTTCTTGCAAAACGCAGGAGGCCCTCTGACCCTGGTATAACTCCTTATTTCCCACCATTTTCTACATTCCCTACTATTTACCCACATCCCTGCCAATCCTCTACAAAATTTTATATATACTTGAGTGTGCTTTATAGCCACATTTAACTCCACCACTGTTTCCCAAAAGGACATAATTAGCACATGTGTCTCTGAAACTGATTGGTTCAGATGTCTCCCACTTCTGCATGCAGGTTCCGCATGACAAAGTAAATCATCATTAGAAACTTGCAATGTTAGGGACTTACTGGGGCTCCAAGACCATTCTCACATTTCACAAAGTTCCAAAGAAGGGCAGAGGTCTCAGTTAGTTGTCTCCATGTCTTCTGGATTAAAAGAACTCAAAGAGGATGTTGTGTTTGACAGCCTCCCAAATCCTGGAGGGAGCAGTAGCATATTTACAACTCCTCCAACTTTGTTCTGCTGCAAGAATTATATGTCGATGTCTCTGCCCTATCTTGTATGCTAATTAAGATAATCAACACATGCATTCAAGATTCCCTTTGGATAATTCCATTGTCTGCTTGCTTATATACCTAGAAACAAAATTAACTGTTCAGTATTCTTAAAAGGATTGTTCAAAATGATATTCTATTTTGTTTAATAATTTTCACTAAAAACTCCAGAGAATGAAAGTGTTATAATAGATACTGCTGTTCCTATATTATTCAAATGTTTAGCATTAAGTCTAATGGATTATTTTAACTCATGTGTTTTTGGCCGAAAAGGCTATCTCAAAGTTATTCAGCTAGTATGCATGCCTTCAGTCCTCCATGTAGGAACAAAACAAATATATGAGCACAGAATGGCAAGACTGTCATAACACATGGAGTTCAGAAATCCACCTGACTTTTATGACTATCAGAATCTGCCTCACCTCACTTTTCATCAGCTCAGATATGAATTGTGTGTGTGTAATCTACACCTCAAGTTACATAGCTGGCTGTTTTTCAAGTGGTTTATGCCAAGCTTTTTCTGCCCAATATTATCAAAGGAACAGTAAACAATACCAGATCTCCTCTAAAATTAAGAACTTAGATACACGAAACCCTAACCTCTGCTATGAACCCCACTGCAAAATATTCAAAATTAAATAGGATTTACTTCGAAATAGGCTGGTGGGGACAGAAGCCTTGGGCTTCAGACCTACACACAATTAGACTTATTAAATCTTAGTGAAGTCAAATATAACTGGCTGCTGGTGGGTGGATTTGCTAGCCTGGGGAGATTAGGATAGTGTGGAAGCACCTTCCTGTTGTTGGAGAGGAGCTCTACTGGCAAAATGTGTCAGTGGGTAGGGGGACCACCATCTACCTCAGTGATTCAATCACATCTGCAAAGAGCTCCACAGACAAAAAAGCTACTGCTGATGGTAGCAAGCATATGTCTCTGAAATGCATTTCCATGTAGGGATGGGCAAATCCACCCATCACCAGCCAGTTATAACTCACTTCACTTCAGATCTGCTGGGGCCAAGCTGCTCTGTTGCTTTGCATTGCTTTCATTGGGAGTGTAAAGCCAGACAAATCTGCCACTCCACAGCTTCTTCCATGGGCTGCTGCAAGTCAGCAAGACTTTGGATGAGCAAGAAGATCTGCAACTTCACTCCTCCCACATCCCTGATCCCATGTAGGATTGCACTGGATACCAGGCACTCAGATCCATTGAACTTAGTGGGATTTATGTCTAGGTAGGCATGCTTAGAATTATAATGTAAGGGGGTTGCATTTACCTTCTGAAAAAGCAGAAGAGAAGCCAAGCACTTGAGTGATAGAGTTGTCAAATGATACAATTTATTTTAAGCAATATAAACAGAAATAAGGAAAATATCCTTCTTTATGGATTTATTAAAAGACAGCAGCTGTTGTAAAAAGCAACGGGTCCATACCACATCAAGAATGTAGATTCTCATTCTCATTTTAGGATTCCTTAAATATGTAAATCTTACAATATATAACCTCACTGAAAAGTGGGCATTTAGTGTGAGAACCTGACATGGAAATTGGCACTTTCACATAAAAGGACATTTACTATTCTTCAAATTTCAGCTACTCACATATTCTCCCTTTCTTGTTGAATCTCTAAATCATGCACTTAAAAATAGACTACCAGATTATCTGGGCAAATCATAAAGCTGAGCTTATCTCTCTTTTGCTCGCTCTGGCTCTCCCCTTAAAACGCACAATTTATTTCGTCCACCAGCTCAGCAGCAGTGAGCCAAGAGTAATCCTGTATGTCCCTGTAAACCCACCTCTGTCTGGCTACAAATGTCTCCCTGCATATCTGATATGTGCACACATGTGTGCTAGGGGACCCTGCATTCAGAAATCCAGAGAGATGCCAACACACAAACTAGCAGGCATGACTTCATGCCTATATGCCCTTGGGCGGCATTCATGGCTGTGTGGTAGAGGGTGTTTATGTTTGTGTATCATGACAGTCTTATTTAGCCAGTGAAAACAATCTCAGAAAGCACAATAAGAAGGAAGTCACTGCTTTGTTTCCCACTGTATTATCAGTTCAAAAATATATTATCCCAAACCAAATAGCTATTCTTTTTAAAAAAAATAAAATTCCTCTATACAATAGATAACACATCAATGCCTCTTCTTATTTGCAATTAATTCAAATTCCAAACGAAGCAGAATCTAAAAGATCACCCTATTTTCATGTTGGCCCTGTAGTCTCAAATATGCAAACCTTCCCTATTCTCTTCTCTTATTCCCATTACAGGTCTATAAAGCTGTAGACACCTGAGGAACCCCTGCAGGGCTATAAATAGCTACAGTGTGTGTGGTGGTGGGGATTTGCAGCACATTCCTAAAGATGCTGCAGAGAAGCTATCCACAAGATTAATTCTGTGGGAAAAGCCTGTTAGGAAATTCACTGGAATGGTAAACACTGTGTGGAGGCAGTGACCAGAAGAAACAGCTGCTACTGGGAAGATTGGTTAGGAATCCCATGAACACTTGGTGGAGGGTTTCCCACTGCAGTCAGAGAAAAAAGGTGAAAAGGCTTTAAAAAATAGCCATTCAGTTAAATAAATAAATGGGGGTAAAGATGTTCCCTAAACTTCAAGGATTTTCGGCATGATTGAAATACATCCTCTGACCTTGATCTGAGAAAGCAATGGTGTTGCCCTACTAATATGTACAGATTGTTTAATAGAAAAAGGGGCTTTTGTGCACTGACAAGACTTCATGGTCAACCTTAACTATGAGGCTAACTCAGTTATATAGCTGGAGTTGATAAGTATATTCTCTCTGCACACTGTTCAGTGTGAGCATTTCACATTCATTACAGACAGGAATTTTCAAGCATCCTATCAACCACTTAGCACTGGGTCAACCATAATCAGATGTATTTAAAATATGCTTTCCCCCAAAGCAGGCACATAATTCAAGACATGCACTCATCCTCTTCTCACACTCTCTTCAGTGTACCAGATCTTACACAGTGCCATATTCCCAGGAAACAGCGAGTAAATGCACATTTTCTATGCTCCCAAAGCAATTATTTCATACATACTGCCCATCCTCTGCTAACATGTGCACTCAATAGTAGGCATCCTACCTGAGTTTGCCCTAAACATTATTGTCTAAACAAACTCTTTTCACGTGAATCCAAAGTCCCAGAGAGCACCCACCACTTCACTACATATGCCAAATACTGACCTAAGTTGCACAGCTGCCAACTCCTGTGATGTTCTGAATCTTACAACTGCCAGGTTCTTATAGGCTCCTAGGAGGTTCCATTAAAAGAACTTTATTTTAAATAAGAAAAGGTTACAACTTGCATGGCTGTAGGACTACAGGGAGCCTGAACAGCACTATGAGAACATTCTGGGGAGGCCCCTGAAGCTGGAGACAAGAACAAGAAATCCACAAACTTGTTATTTCAAGAATCGTGCGGCTGCCTGCGCTGATTTCAATAATTTTAAAAAGGATTTCAGAAAGCAGATCCACCGCCTCGCCCCTCCTATTTAAGCAGTCCCAGGCAAGCCAACATTTCGGACATGGTGGTCCGGTCTGGTCTCCCTCCTCCCTCTCAGGGACACTCCGGGCCAGCCGGAGGGGCTTCCGGGGGCACTCACCGTCCTCCACAAGGGCTGCCTCCGGGCACTGACCGAGGCGGCGGCCACGATGAGATGGGAGATGGCCACCACCAAGCCGAAGACGATGGCCAGGAGGGTGCGGACGGGCAGGAGGGCGTAGGAGACGAAGGTGACCAGCATAAGCTGCCACATGCCCTGCTCGGGGGCGCTGGGGGGCTCCATGCCGTAGGTGCCCAGGGAGAAAGGGCAGCAGAGGAAGGCGAAGGTGAAGCTGAACAGCAAGGTGAGCTTGACGATCTGCTGCAGCTGGGTCACCTGCAGGTACTTGACGTTGGTGACGATGAAGAGGGAGAGGAAGATGATGCAGTGCACCGGGTGGGAGCCCTTGGAGATGGTCAGGCTGGGCCCCGACAGCAGCTCCACCAGCGCCAGGCTGGCCGTCAGCACGATGAGCACGGCCAGCGCTTTCAGCGTCGACGTCTGCTCCAGCTTCAGGTTGTAGTTCTGGAAGAGCGACTCCAGCTCCTTGCAGTCGAACTGGTCCTCGCAGGCGACGGCGTCCAGCAGCGGCAGCGGAGGGGGGCCCCCTCCTCCTCCGCCGCCGCCGCCGGCTCCCGCCGCCGCCGCTCCGGAGGCGCCGCCGCTACTGCCGGCGGCCGGCGGAGGTGGTGGCGGCTGCGGCGGCGGCCCGGGAGAGGAGGAGCAGCAGCAGTAGCGGCAGCACTTCTTCCTCCTCGCCTTCTTGCTCTTCTTGACTTTCTGAAATGGTATTTCCTCCATGTCAGGGCCATTCATAAACCCCGGAGAAGGAGAGCGCCTCCGCTGCCTCGGTCGCTGCTGCGCCTCTCCCTCTGCTCATGAGAGAAGCCAGGGGCAGCGGCGAGCAAACGCGGGAAAACGCCGGCGGCGGGAGCAGCAGCAATGCAGCTCTCCCGACTGCAAAAGCCAGCGCAAAAGAGAGCAGCAGTAACCTGAGCCAACTCGCGAGCGAAGCCGCCGCCGCCACACGCAAGAGCAACAGCGGCAGAGAAGTCTTCTGAGAGGAGGAGGAGAGGAGCAGGGAGACGACGACGACGGAGAAGACGAAGTCTCCTGACAGACCCTCAGACGAGGCACTCTCAAGCGGCCGGAGGCGCGGAGGGGAGCGCAAAGTCACTCTCGTGCGGCTCGAGAATTCTTGTTTCTGTGTTGTTTCCCGGCTTCGTGCCCTGCGCCTCTCTTGCCTCTCCTGCTCTGGCTTGCTGGCCGCTGCCCGTACGGCTCAGACGGAGACTCTGCCCCTCGCGCACGCACAACGCACCCTTCCCTCTGGGTTAAAAATCCTCCAGGGATGGTAATCTCCTAATGCCTCCCAAAGGTTTCTCTCGTCGCAGAGAGAAAATAAATAAATAAGCAAGCAAGTAAATAAAAGGAGGGGGCGAGGGAGACAAAGGACAGAGACAACGCAAAGAGCCGCTCAACAGGCTGGTCTAGCTTCAGACAAGGACATTTCGGGGCTTGGGGGCTGCGGTGGGCGGCAAAGAGACTCACACGCGGTTTCCTAGGGAATGGGAAAAAGCAAAACATTTCAGCCCTCCCACCGGTAGCACTTTAATTGCCCGGACACCCCTCCGAAAAAAAAAGAAAGGGCGGTGGGGTAGGCCAGGCGGAACAGGGAGGATTCCAAGGAAGGCAAAGATAAGAAGCCAGGGGAGAGAAGCAGAGGGGAAATTAGGAGACTGGGAGAGAGAGGGTGATCCCCTTCCTACGTCCAAGAGCATTTTCGCTGGGGAGGGTGGGGGTAGATGGCCTGCGCCTGCGCACTGCTTTTGCTGGAGAAGCCAGACACGTCTCCCCATCGGAGCGGACGGACTGCGGGGCGTGGGGGAGGGAGCGAGAGAGCCCGGTGTGGCAACAGGACCGCGTTAGAGTTTGCTCTCCCTGCATCTTCTTCCACCCCTCTCACGCACATCCAGGCACTTGTGCTCCCCCGGTCTTACAGCAACCCCCTCCCCATCCTTCGAGAGGAACTGACTTTATTTTGGTTTTTAACTTTGTACCACGCCTCCCTGCAGCCTGATCGGAATGGGGGACCCAAGACTGCATGCGGTTCGACAGCAGCAAAGGAGAGAGCAGGAGGAGAGTGGCTGGGTGCGGGGAGAAGAGGACAGTGCCGAAGAGACCGAATCTTCCGGTAGAACTATTTAAAACAAAACCGCCATCCAAGTTGATCCTTGCGGTTAGTTCGAGGGAAGGCTAAGGAGGACGATTGACATCAGGACTGAGCTTCCTGAAATGTTCCTCTCATCTGCGCGTCCTGTCTCCCCCACCCATGCCTCCATATTTTAATTTGATCTGCAAAAGGAAGTCTCTGCTGAATTCTGAATGTAATGGGGGGGGGGTGTTTTTTAAAATGGCTTAAATGTGCCTTAATTCTAAGCAGTGCCCTAAGAATGGAAATGGCTCCTTCCTGCATTCTAAGACTTAACTAGAAGCACGATAACGCAGATCCAGAATCTAAAATCAGAGTCATTTCTACACCCCGGGCAGATTTAAAAATCTGCTCCTGCTGGCAAACGGGTTGCACACACAGAGAGAGAAAGAGAGCTTTCCAGCGTTTGAACAGAAATAACGGTTGCAATTCTAAGCAAACTGCATTTTGGTTCTGTATAACTGATGTACATCAAGGAAGAAGACAAGTGTCTGTTCCCTGCCGAGCAGTAAACAGGGCATGACCAGTTCCCACTACTGTCAGTCAAAAATACAAACACCACCAGTTCTCCTTCAGCCTTTGTGACACTCTCCTGCACAAATAGCTTCATTCTTGACAGCAGCAACCGCCTCTGCTGCACTTCTTTGTAAGGTGATAAAACCATTTTGAAATGGATGCCCAGGTACTTTGCACTAATCTTCTTAAAACGTATTGATTCCCTCTGCTCCAACCTGGTCTACAAAAACCATAATCAAAATGTGAATAATCTTCCATGCAGATCAAACTTCAATCAACTGTCAAATACCTTATACATTTATGATGCAGTTTTTCTAGTCTGTTTACACCAAGGGGGAAAGCAAAGCAAACCATTAACCCATGCATAAATGGTCATAATGCCAAAAAATCTCCAACTGAATCCTCAAAGCTGGGAGGTCCCTGAGGAATTGCAGGAAAGGCTAGCAATTGAGACTCCTTCCAGCACTATAACACTGTGCTCCAGAGCTCTCTGAATACATTAACTGCACCTCTAAAGTTTAACACTAGTACAATTTCTCTTGGCTGCTGAACTTCAGAGTGCAGTGAGTACAAAGCTGCACACAAGCCAAAGAGGCATGGTGTGTGGGTGAGAGACATTGTTATTTTGAGAATGGAACTGGAGTCAGGGTTGCACACTGCATGGACACACTCAGTTTCAGGATGCTCAAAGCTGTTGAGGGCTGTCTCATTTTGAAAGATGAGAGTTCTTGGAGGGGTGTTTAGGATCAGAACAGACATATCCTCCTCCAGTTTAAATTAATCCCTCCATACGCACACTAATTATCAAAGGAGTGCAAAGAGACACTGAGAAGGTACAGCACCTTGAACCAATGGGTGAGGTGGGAGATTAAAGTCTAGAGCCTAATTTCGCTTTCTAGCATACTATAAGCTGGCAGACTGATTTCCCTGCACTCTTTCCTCCTCCTCCTCCTTTAACTCATTCCCCCCTCACTGAAAATATCCTATATTTCCCAAAAGGCATTAAATATGCCTTTTCCTCACTGAGCTGTTCTGTTTCTTCCTCCCTTCTTTTTATCTACGCATTTTTCTGCATATGTGCAGAAGTCCTGCAGTAAACAAAAATAACAAGTTTGTCTGTAGGTAGTCCTCTTCCTTCCTTCCTTCCTTCCTTCCTTCCTTCCTTCCTTCCTTCCTTCCTCCTCCCCCTTCCTTTTAAATATAAGCTTGTTTTTAAGCATACCTGCATAAGGTCACAATTTAGACAGAAAAAAGTCCTATAACTCCCAGCATTCCCCTGCCAGCCACAGCAATGAGTACCAGTGAAATCCAGCTTCAGCTTTGGGCAGTATAGAAATATAATTAATAATAAATGAAAATACAACTTGAGCCGGAAAGCATGTACTGCAACACTTTGCTGCACATGCTCAGGAGGGAAACCTCAGGACCACATGGCAGCCTCAGAAGTGTTTTTCTAAAAATGACAGCTGGTTCTGATAATACTTCTGACAGTAGTTCCTGGCAGGATCATAAGGGATAGGGTAATCCCTAAAATAACCAAGTCCCAAGTTGTTTAGGGCATTGTATGATGACAACGACCCTTTAACATTGTCATGGTACCTTACTGGAAGCAAAGAGACCTTGTGTTCGCAGCCTCACTGCTGCATTTTGCATCAGATATTCTGTCCTCCTGTCTGCATTTTCCTCTCCCTTGCCCATTATCCCCTCATTAATAGCAGAGTGATGCTACAGTTCAAAGATCTTTTAGAGCAAGGCTAAGGAACCCCATGGCCCTCCAGATATTATTGGGATCCAGTTCCCATCACCCCCAGAAAACTTGGGCAATGGTCACTGGCAATGGAAGATGTAATCGAACAAATATTTGGACAGCCACCAGTTCCCCAACTCTGACATAGAGGTAATTTAGTGGAGCTATGGAATTTTTACTTGAATGTGAATGTCAGCTTATCTTGAGGGGAAAACTGCACATTACACGTGTACTCACCTAATAACAAGAACAAAGGCATGATGGTGGACAGCTGGTTTGGAAAAGAAAATATGAAACAGAAAATTCTTCTCTCTCCACTCCCTCTCCACTGCTTTTCTCTGCCTGCCACTTTCAAACATATGCTCGATAATCCACAGGGGGATAAAAGGTACAGAAAAAGATTTGCAATGGGGAAGTGGTTGGTGAAGAGAGGGTTAGGTACTTCTCTTCCTCCATGTGTTCTCTGCTCCATACTCCCCTACCAAAGCTTCTTTTCCCTAGGAAAATCAATTTGTCAAACTCTTGTATGTGTGCAACATGGAATAACTATCAGAGGTCGTCATCTTTCAGGATTCCTCAAATGTTGGCCCGAAAAAGAAATATCCTGTGTTGAATTCTGGAATTTAGAGCATTTCTATACATGCACCCTCCACTTCAGCATGGAAAACTGGAAGTTCACCCTCCCCTTACTACAACATTTTTCTACTGTATCAACTACCAGAGTTTGTACAGGGACAGGTGTCTAGAAATAGGCTAAAATGAGATGTGGTATTGGGCTTAAATGAATTCTCTGACTCTTTGGAGGCATGAAAGATGAGAGTCCCAATCTAGTAAATACTGAGAACACTTCAATGACAGTTCACTCAGAAGGGACCTCCTGGGCCATCTAGCTTGACCCCCGACTCCAGCCAGCTCTGTTCACAACATGCCTACCATGTGCATGTCCAACCTATTCTTACAGAAAAAATAGTTTCACCCCAGCCGATAGCATTTTGGCAAGGGTGCTGAGAACTGCAATTCCCTGGGTTCTAGGCAAAGCCTGAAGTGTGGATAGACCGCCATTCTCAGATTGCTGATATGGGTTTCTTGGGGGAGGAAAGGTGTTCAGTAATACTCCTGTGGATGTGGAGTAAGACTCTAGGGCCAAACCTGCCAGTACTCCTGACTGTGACAGTGCATGGCAGAGGACTCAGATGAAGATGAGGCTCAGGCAACTTCCTCAGGGCAGCTTATATCACAGAATCATAGAGTTGGAAGAGGCCTTGAAGGCCATTGAGTCTCACCCTCTGCTCAATGCAGGACTCAGGTCTCCCATCCAGATTCTAACCAGGCCGAACCTTGCTTAGCTTCCAAGAGTAAGCAGGATCAGGCACTTCAGGATATATGAAAACTTAAAAACACTGGAGATTTTGGAGATGCCCCCACATCTTGACTAGTCGATAATGGGTTATTGTGGCATAATTTTTATATGGAAAGCTAAGAGATAACTTTGTTTATAGTCTTTGCTGCTAAAGTTAGTCTCATGTAAAATGTACATGGATCTATGAGCTTACATCCTACTTTTGCAGTATTATAACTGGAACAAACATAAAGTGATTTGTTCTCTTTAATGTAAACAATGGAAGATTTCTTTACAGAGATCATTTGGCCTCAACATCTGACCCTACAGACTTTGCTGTATCAGACACTGCTTTTCCTGTGTGCCATGAAGATGCCTTGTTAGTGAATTGGTTCCTGTTGGAGAAATAACAACAGATAACATGTTTGTCTTTCTCCTTCCTTAAGTTTGTGATATCCTTGTGCTATGTCATTGTTTGCTACAACAAGCCTGTTAATTCTTTTGGTATACAGTTTATTTCTGCACAGGCTGGCAATGACAGGAGCCACATGCATATTGCTGAGTATCTCCCAGTCCTTGTCCATATGAAGGTTTCTCATACTTTTCACACTCTTTATCAACACTTGTTCAATTGTGAGGTCAGAAAATAGCCCTCCTCGCCTACTACTAATCTGTTATGTGAGCAACATGATATCCTGATGATATGTTTACATACACCTGGATGTTCCTTTTCCAGTCACGCTTCTGTTGCTTATGAATGGAGATTGGTTTTAGGTAGCGGTTAAGATGCTATAAATGATTGAAGCATGTTAAGCAGGGACAGCAAATGAAGACTTCACATTCTAAGTTGTTCACCCATAAGGAAGTTATGTATAGTAGCTATCAATGATGATGACGACGACAAATTCTGAATGCGTTGATTCTACTTCAGAAGCAGAAAAGGTTAATTCAGAAGTTTGAAAGATAAAAATTTGGAAGCATCCATCTGAGAG